AATAAGGCATTTGTAGCGCAACGCACCGAGCCACACTGTCATGGGAGCTGCATGGTTCAAAAGTACGCTGTTCTTCTTCCGCAGATCTTGACTATCCAGAAAGCTTTCCTTGCAAGTGTTCCTATCTGTGCTAGATTTCTTGCCTTTCTATGACTACTTCGGTTCTACAGTCAACGCCAAAACGTGGGTGTGTAAAAGAGGGAAAACTTCTTCGAGCTGAATTCCACTTACCTTCCCGCCAACTGGCTCTCCTCCACGACCAAACACTATCTGCACATACTTGCCAAACGCGATGAATTCCAGTTGCGGACTGTGGCGCTGTTTCCAAACGCTTCCAAAAGCGGATTCGATTGCAGGATTACGTCTTTGACATGCTGGAAGAAAAAATGATTTTGCAGATCAGCTAATAAAGGAAAGGAAATTGGTAAAACGAGAATAGCAATGGGGAATTGAAAATTTTGAATGCTTTTGATTTTGAAAACACAACAACATCAAGCCGTTGCTCCTATGCCGTTCAAAATGTTCAAAATTGAGAAAAAAAATCGAGAATCCCATACCTAATGCTGAACTTTGACCGACTGTAATAGCACTGTTAGTCTATTCGTCCTCGAAAAAATGAAAAGATTCAAGTGGAAGGGGGAATTCCTGTGTACGAACCTGAACCTTAGGTCCGCCTCCTGAGATCCGTGAGATGTAGCTCATGATGTATTTAGCAGCAACGGTTTTACCGGCACCACTTTCACCACTAATGATCACACATTGAGACTCGTTATCGATTAGCATATTTCTGAAATAGCTTTCAAATTTTCAAAACAACTGAAAAATGTCATGAATTAGAAAGAATTTGTTCCGACAAAATCTTTATTCGCCTTAGAATGATGTGGAGAGAAAGACCTCACTATACATGGAAAAGTGGACCAATAGTTCAGAATGCGCCGTGCATATCACTTCCATTCGGAACCATAAACACGATTTGTTATCCAGAGTGGGATTCCGGACCTCCAGGGGAAGTTTTATCCACCTCGACGAGGTTGGCGCCAAATAAAGTATAGGAAAAAGGGAGGTTTGATGGCCTGAACAAGAATCACCCCAGAATTTGATTCTTGGATCGTTCATCTGGTAAGCGGCCCCACTTGGCCCTACACTAACTCCATCCAATCGCATATTATAGCTCAGAAATTAATGGCAGAAAAAACCGCAGAAAACGCAGTACCTGTACATATTATCAGCTAAAGCGTAGATGTGTGGCGGGTTCTCGTACTGCGCAGCTCCTTGGTACTGATCCATGTCCTTTTCAGTGAAATACGGCATTTGTTTGAATGGATTCACCGAGATGAGCACCGGTCCGATATAGGTCTAGAACAGAGGCATTCCGTGTGGGCGTAGAGGAGAATAGGCCTCGATTCATTATATATTATATTATATTATTAGGTCAACTCATTCAAACATGTCCAGACATCTAGAGAAATGGTGGGAAAAGTAAAAGAGCTAGAGCATTCTGCTTGCTTTTGTTTTTAAGCTAGCACACCTAGCTACGGTATACCCTAATTAAGTTTGTAGTGCCGCAGAAGGAAACACTTAAAAACATAAAAAACTCATAGTGACCAAAATCGAGGCGGAATTTCCAAATGATTGGTGACACACGTAAAATTCGCAACTCGAATTCTCTGTGTGCTGGCTCAGCTTACGCGTGATACAGTGTTCTCGAAGTGCTACGTTGAAGATATGGTGTGAGAGCTCAAAGAAGGGAGAACGGAAGCGAGTTGTGGTTGAGGACGCGCTCACATTGCCCACCTTGCAGAAGAAGAGCGGGTGGATGGAATGAGGTTTCAAATGGCGCATCACAGATGCTGGACCTTTGCGATGTTTGCC